AAATTAATTGAGAGCTCTGGAAGAGCCAATTATTACTATTTTGGAGAAACACAATTGATTACCAATAAGGTATTGTGTTGTAGTAAGTCTCAAAGAAACTTATTCAGTTTCCAAAGTATACGCGAAAGCGGTTGATTATATTGAGACTATAAATAAAGGAAAGATTTAATATCTTCTATTAGTACAACTTGTAGCGAGGTAATATGTATGTGAAAAGCTACCCGTTTTATTCTCCAATTTGTACTAAATAAACAAAAGAATACCACAATGAAGTGGATATTTATTGATATAAAAACCCATACTTATTCATAATTGCACACATCATGGTGTAAACCTGAAGTTTATCAATATTGATAATTTATCCAGTTGGCATAAAGTTTAGCCATGTTAATTCAAGTATGATGTGCAAAAATAAAAGACAATTCACATGGGTAAATAGTAAAGAACTAGAAAGTTCTTTACGAATTCTCTTACATTACTTTTTCTCATTAATTAATAGACCAATTAAAATTGGGATTAAATCCCATGAATGCTGGAAATATCAAAGGTGAATATGGGCCCATTCACCTGCCACGTATACCACATAAGATGCATCTATGATATGGTTACATGTGCAATTATTATTGACCCGCAACCTGGTATTTGCGAGGTAACTTGCTCAATAATTTAATATAGAGCATAATTTCCAGATTTTTTATTCAAGATAGTTCTTCTTGATAAGTTGGTTTACATCACAGTTGGTTTAGCAAAATAATTTATTGAGTGCCTCCACTTAATAGTTAAACTATTGCTTATGAGAACAAAGTTATATATATCAGTTTGATATACGTTATATACGAAAGTATATTATTTTCTCCCCTCACAAGTGGTTCAGGGTCAGGAACCAAATAATTCCGTCTTATTATTATTGATGTGCGGTGTATATTATGATTAACACCATAACGCACAAAGATGGATTCTCAAAGTTGAGGAAACAAGTTAGTTTTTCTAACATGAGGGGGAGACATGATAAACAGTTGAGAAAAAATTACATGGAATGAATTATTATTTATACATCTCGATCCTCGAATAAGATAATATGAACTTGAAGTTCATAAAAAGATAATTCATTTGCAATATATTGCAAAGCATGCCAAACGCATTTGCTGACCCAAAGAAAGTAACTATATTCTCATTGCAAATGCTCATATTAAGTCCTAGAATGACAAAGTCTATAGTACGCTTAAAGCATATAGACAAATCGGTTTCAAATCAACTTCTTGATAAAGAAGATGAGCAAATGATCATAATAAATGAGGCAAGTGATCTAGAAGATCATATGACATAATGCTTCATAAAATCTCAAGAGAGATTCAGGTACCTGAAAATATGAATGAAAAGATCTCTATGTTATGTCTTTATGAAAAATAAGGAGGTTGGAACCGATATAAAATGTTTGTCGATGACATCTATGATAGCGCTAAATATATACTTAAGTCTGGTGAAACAATTTCGAATAGAATTGGTTTCATATGAAAGACATGTAGTTTTGAACGTGCATGTAGTTCAAATACTTGAAAGTATAAAGTCAATGGTATGTGCAATCAGTTTTGGATATCTTATATGTCTAGCATGACATGAAAACTTGATATGCATCTAAAGTCTATTATATGGCTTATATGACTTAACAATCCCTGAAGGATTTAAATTGCTTAAAGCATATAGAATTCATGGTCATGAAGTACTACATCCTCAGTGCAATTTGTGCACAAATGTATCTTGCTATAACTATATGCATGATAATATGATAGCAAGAGTTTTCACCTCTATGTGAAGATATTGAACTGACGATTCCAACAAGATCATATGAAGACAATCCATCTCTATCAAGAATGATGATTTCAAGGTGCAATATATTCATTCAAGTTAATATGGCTGATTTGTTTATCAAATATCTACCAAAGATCTTTTGAAGATGGTGCACAATATGGAATGCAAATGCTTAAGGATGTGAAGTGATGCTCTTATGAGGGGGAGTTAATACGCGTTGTACTCTTTTTCCCTTACAAGGTTTTGTCCCACTGGGTTTTCCTTGCAAGGTTTTTAACGAGGCAACCAAAAGGCGTATTATTAGATATATGTACTCTTTTTCCTTCTCTAGAATTTTTTTCCCACTGGGTTTTATTTTAGTTAAGGTTTTAACGAGGCACATTATCTGTTGAATAGACATTCAAGGGGGAGTGTTATAAATAGAGTTCTATTTATGGTGAATGTCTATATTTAGAGAGATTCTAGTGTTTATTACTTGGTGGCTAAGTCACCATCTCCCTATAAATAAAGAGTTCTATTCCATTGTAATTCATCCCATATCAATAAGAATTCCCTCTCTACTTTTCTCTGCAATACTATTCTTCTTCTTTTATTGTTTTATAACATATTCTCATTAGTCATCACAGTGAGATAATCAATTACTTTCCGTACAATAATACTAAAAAATGTTCAATACGATGAATGCTTTTAGTGTTCATCTGTACTATAACTTAGTTAAACTTTTATCTTGAAACTTAGAAGATAAAGGAACAAGAAAAGAACTCCAAGAAACTTGCCATAACTTAAAAGTACCAATTTCATACTAGAGAAGTTCCCTAACGTGTTTACACTTACTATTACATGTTGACAAGTGATCAAAACCATACTCCCTTATGTGTCTTAACTTTACTACGAAGTTATTTAAGAATATATAAAAAAAAAAAAACTTCTTATATCTTGTAATGCTAACATATTATAAATATTCCGTGAATCTTGTGTCTTAATTAACATGCTATGTCATTTCTATAAGAAAACATCATTAAAGACAAAATAAAAATAAAAAATTTACTTAAATACATAATGGTTACATTCTTTTTAAATCAGACTAAAAAACAAGAAAATAAATACAGTAAAGTTTACATGAGAGACAAACATTAGTTAGTGGAAATGGAATAGCATGGCTAGTCAAACAAGAGGAGCCGGTACCATTTGTACCACGTGAGGAAATTGTAAAACGGGATCCAAACTTGTAGCACACAAAAAAAGCCAAAGCACATCACTCCACAATTATGGAAACCATTAACCCTAAACCAAGTCATTATGACCCCAGTTCCAGGTGATCTTGATCCAAAAAATAGCCTCTACCCTTATCTTCTTTAAATTATCACTTAATAACTTATTGATCGGAACATATGCAACTTCTAGATATCTTGAAATTTTCTATGATGTAAATGGAGCTTCTTCTTCCTGGCCGCCGATGAGCTTCATTATAGCCGCATGTATTCTATTCGCATCATTTTTTGCTGTCATGCCCAATTTATGATCCATCTGTTTACAATTAGGCAACAAAATATCAACAAGAGTTTAAAAAAATTACACTGCAAGTGCATAAAATTATTTACTTTATTTTCCAAATTATCATATTAAGGCTTATTATAGATGATTATCGATCTGTTGTTGCAGTTTCCCGTACAAAAGCTAATTTTTCTCTATCAGAAATATAAGGCAATTGGATTAATTGATAGCTGAACGAAGTATAGGGTAAATCCAGTACCTGAGCAATAATTGTTATGTGGGTGGTGGTGTGGGCAAAAGGCATGACACTGCTGCTAATGATAGAGAGTTTGAGCTTCTCTACTTGGCTGAATATTTCCTTTATTATCCCGGTTTGCTTTTTGCAACTAATGCTAATCAGAATATTATTCCCATCTGAAGCTCTAACTTTAATATCTGGTTGTGATCGATCTGTGCTAACGCTGGAGACGTTGTCTTCAGAAGATGAGGAGTAGCGGTCAGAAGTACTGGAGGCCAGGCGAGGTCTCTTCACTGCAACCACTGCTTCCTTACTGTTACGTTTCTTGGCTTTCTCCTCGAGGGTTTTTACTTGTTCTTCAAGCTGTTTAATATGTTTGATGGCATCTCCAAGTACTGTTGCTTTGTCTAACTGTTTAACATTCAAAATCACCCAAAAGTATATATCACTACATAGAGATTTTTCACAACCTAAATTAAAGTAGTGATTCACACAACCTGAACCAAACATAAATAGTAGGAGTATTTACCTTCTTGAGGTTAGGGATGAGAGTAGATAAAGCTATGAAGCGCTGAGTGAGGCGTTCCCTTCGCTTTCTTTCAGCCACAACGTGGTCTTGTGCCTGCAAACTAGTCCTATTGTAACTCTTCTTCTGAACAGTAATATCAGCAGTACCAAATCCCAAGGCCTGCATTAGATTTTGGCTATCACCAAAATCATCAGAATCCATAGAAAGTACTGATGAAGACGAGAAGTTTAGGGTAGTTCCAGATGGCAACTCAGTATTGGCCGATGGCGAGTTGAATTTGCAGGAAGAAAGGACGCTGGAGGAATTAAGAGGAGGAGGAGAAAAAGCGGTCATTTGGTGAGTTTCAGTTGCATAGCCGCCGCAAAAGGGTGGCTTCACGTCCAATATTCCAGCAGCAGCATGACAAGGTTGAATATCGTAGGAGAAGGGCTTATTGAAAGGCAATTCGTCTAATTGGGTCATCATTTGACAATGATTGATGTATGCATGATCATCCGTACTCATCGTCTCCTGTATTAATCAATTTCAATGGTATTAATATGAGGACTCTTTCAAGCAATATGAGTATTTTTGTACAACTTAGTACTACTATATACATTAAAGTATGATTTTGTCTTACCATTTCAGCCCACCATTTAGCAGATGAAAAATCCATCTTGGGTTTAGATCTTTCCAATCTACACATAGATTCCAATTACAAAAAGTATTTAGTAACATAGAGATTTGGGGAAACATATACAAAGGGGATCAATCATAGGGTCTCGTAATTGAAAAGCGGCGGAAGCTTACCTTACTTAGAGCAAAAGGCTTTTTCAGTTTCAGCTGCTATCTGTCAGATCAAGTACAGAAAATTCTTGTGTCTTTATGTGTCTTTATACTTGATTGAATTAAAGAGTTGACTGCAAAAATAGGCAGAAAGAAAACAAAAGAGAAAAAAGAAGTGGGAATATCCCTCAATTATTATCTTCTCTCTATATCTGTATGTTGTTAAAGAAATGGGCAGAAGAAAAAGGTGGAATATCCTTCAATTATTATATTCTCTCTATCTTATGTTATTAATGAAATGGTTCTAATTCAAACCAAAAAATTAATTCAAAAGATGAGGGTTATTCAAACCATATTAAAGAGATCATTCATCCTCCTCACTATCCATGTGATATTCTTCTAACATCATACCGCATTGGACATATGAAGCATGAACAATATAATATGGGGCCCAATATCGAATTGGGATGAATTCCGGTTTGATAACGTGTTAAAGAAATAAATATGATGCTTAATTTAACCCCACAAACTAGCTCAAGAAATGAGTATTACCAGAACCATATTAAAGAGATCAGACATCCCATGTGGAGCTCTTCAATGTATGTTTATTACTCCTTTGGGAAATACGTCCTTTGTACCTATATTACTTCTTTGGGAATATTTTCATCACTACTTAAAATAATACACGTGTGAAAAGTTTCGAGAATGGAACCCTATTGTTTTTCGGTTTCGATCTCTACTTTGATACCCATCTGAATCCGTGTCTTTTTCGTGTAGCACTTTGAATTATTTTGTTGCTCCCGAAGACAATACAGTTATCGATTTAACTTAATAGTGCAAAGAATTAATACATTATTTGTGCATTTTAATTAACATATATCTATCCTATTTTTCAGATTACTAATATCATTTATTACCTATATATATATATATATATATAGTTATTTTTTAGGTAGGTAATCCGATACTATAAAAATATACTCCTAAAACTTAAACTTTATACCGTTATTACCTTTACTCGATCTATCTTTTCTTGAGAAAAAATAACTTAACTCTTTAATTTGCGCAATCACACTAATATTCTGTGTTATTCTTCTTTTATCGAATGCATCCAAAATGGACTAAAATAACATTAGCTAGCTCTTGAAGACAATACATATGCTTTAATGAAAAAATTGTGCTTCTGTTAAAACTTAAGCTATATTTTAAGGTTAGGAATAATTTTCCCAAAAGTAACTCTGGGGCTTTTTTCTCACCCTTCATATGAATGTCAAAATTTCAAAGGAACAAATTTATGAGGCCATATGTTATCTAACTCATCCAGGGGCGGACCTACGTTGGGGTGAGGTCATCGGAACCTATTAGCTTCAGGACTCCTTAAATATCTTATGCGGCCCCTAAATTTACAAAGTCTGGACAGAGAAGTTGGTTTGTAGAAATGCTTAAGACCTTCGCTCTCTTGATGACCCAAGTTTGAATCTGGACTCCTACAATGCATAATTTTTTTAATTTTATTTTTAAAGTGATACCTCCGTAATACTCAAATCTTGGGTCCGTCTCTGACCTCATCTTCCATGGTACAATTAACAGAGAAATCCAACTCCTTCCAGAAGCCAAAGTATGACGTTATATTTTCAATCTCCTGCAATGTTACGGCCGGCCGGCTGATTTGAGAGTCTAGATGTTCCAAACAAACGTATCTTTTAAGGAACTCCACATTATTTAGTTTTTCCTCAAGTTGGTATAACAAGCTGAGCTTTTCAAGGAGACAAAAGACAGGAGAACCTTGGGCAGGATCTTTTGAAGATTGTTATCACCAACTACTGTTGAACAGTGCGTACAGCATTTCTGTAGTTTATTTCTTAAACTGGGACAAGTTTACCAAAAAATTTTATGCTACATAAACTTGCTTATTATGGCAGCCAAAACCAAATTAAAAAGTTGATTAATATGCTACAACTACCAACCATAGGTTTCTCTCTAACAACATTCGGTGACGCTGGTATCTCGTCACTGCAAGCATATACTCTTATAATAAATGCTGATTGCGAGATCAGATCCTGTAATTGTTGTATTTAATAGGTTAGGTTGGGGTGTACATAGGTTGGGTTGTTGGATTTTACAATTACCAAACAAAATCAATTATGTCGGGTTATTAAATCTAAAGACCCAACCAATAAAACTCGGTTTTTCAATCACGGTTTTTCTCGGTTTTTCGGATTTTTTGGGTATTTCGGATATTTTTCTGGTAAAATCTTCGTAGAACAAAGCATGTAACTTGTGCTCAAAATATTTCTTTAATCCTAGTAAGATACAACTAAGTAAAGTATTCTTCAAGGAAAAAATACAAAATATGAGATGTGCTATGGCATTATCCTAAAATATTCAACACTAAAGACAATAAAATTACGTAATATAAACATTGGTAATTAAAAGTCATAATAAAAATAAACATAATCTAAAAGTACTAAGTCATGCTAAAATAAATAGACTAATAAGAGAGTATTAATTACATGACTAAACGCTAAAGAAAAAATCAAAAAATAGGTTATGCATTTTTATCTAAATTATTGCAAAACAAGAAATAGATATTCAATGCATTCCAGTTCGTAATATTGAATTGAATGTCTTTTGTTAGCATTAGTATTGATTTGATTTTGGTTTGGACTTTTGTTAGCATTACTTAATTTACTAATATTAATGTCTGTTAAACTTATTGGAACATTCAAAAGTTCTAAGTCCAACCTTGAAATAATACCTTAAAAGATTAAAATTTTAAGAAATATTTATAAATTACATCACAATAAGTATATTTATATATTAAATATATCTAAAATTTCTATATATGTAATGTCGGGTTGGTTTGGTTTCAGTTTGACTTTATTTAGTTAAAACCAAACCAAACCAATTATGGTCGGGAGAAATTCAAAAATAGCCAGATTTACAAGTGGTCGTTCAAAAATAGTCCAGTTTCAAAAGTAATCGAAAATTTGTCACTTTTCATGTAAAGATAAATCTGAGCGAAAATACTGTTCAAAACCCAGAAAATACGCCAGTATATTATGCTGGAGTTCCAGCATAAGTATACTTGAACTCCAGCATATTATACTGGAGTTCCAGGATAAGTATGCTGGAACTCCAGCATAATATGATGGAGTTCCAGCATAAGTACACTAGAACTCCAGCATAATATACTGAAGTTCCAGCAAGTATATCGGTCCAGTATAATATGCTGGAAGTTCATACACAAGTGCTCGAATCTCCAGTATATTATGCTGGAACTTTCCGTGTGTTGGAGTTCCAGCATAATATGCTGGAAGTTCATACACAGGTGCACCGAACTCCAGTATATTATGCTGGACCGGTCTCTGTTGCAGCAAAATAATGGCTATTTTTCATTGACTTGGTAAATGCTGGCTATTTTTGAATGACCAGTCCGAAAACTGGCTAGACCGTGCTATTTTTACGTTTTTTTTCTAACACCTAATCAAACCAAACCATAGTTGGATTTTTTTTCTCAGTTTGACTCGAATTATCAAGTTGGTGGGTTTGTCGGTTTCCTTGGTACACCCCTATTAATAGGTATAACATCATCTTTCAATTTTATTTTATATCACTATAAGAAAAACACATACTTGTGACGAAAATGGACAGGTCCGTCCCAATTATAACCTGCAGTTTTACGATGAAATTCACCAATTAATGTAAACGAAATTTGTAATGAATTTATGACAGTTTTATTCTTTCATCACAATTTTTCTGTGACGCTCGAATTAGTCTCGATTATATTTATTCTTTCACAGCAGCTGCTATTGGCAGCTTGTATTAAGATTCTTACACTGAAATGACTTTGTTCTTTATCTTTATATTACAATAAACGAAGCTCCTCTCATACAAACGGTTGTTACGTCCTTTTCTTTCTTTTTTCTCTTTTAATTTCATTTATGGGGCCAAAATCATAAGTTTATTGATAATACTATATGGTTTTGTCTAAATGGACTTTCTCTTAAGATCTAAATATATTACATAAACTACTAACCCTCTTAATATTGTACTTCCAAAGAAAAAGGAGAAAACGTCTTTGTTAATTCACTGCGCTTTTTCTTTTCTTTTTTTGGTTTGTGTGTGTGCTAACCACTCGCTTACGTAACTAAATAAATAAATTTACCAAACTCATCACCTAAGGAGGTTGGTAATGTCTATGTCATGACCACCTAGTGGTGTAGTAGGAGAGTTAAAAGACAAAAGAGATTGGTGGGAACGAAGGAAGAAGGAAAGAACAGAAGATAGAACAGCAGGGGAATATACCAAAAAGTTCGTCAGTTGGTTAAAGTGAGAAGGAACACAGAGTCCATTACTGTAACCCGGTCAGTCGTTTTAAGAATTAACGTCCCGATCCTCTATTAACTGTTTTTCTCGTATTTATTTATGCTAATATGAGTTGCCGGGAGGTTTCGTTTTGAGTTTCGGAGTATTTTGGGACACTTAGTCCCTAATGATGAGTTTTAGCTTTAGAATTTGGACCGTAGTCGGAGCAGTGTGAAGACGACCTCGGAATGGAATTCCGGCGGTTACGTTAGCTCCATTGGGTGATTTCGGGATTAGGGGCGTGTTCGGATTGTGTTTTGGGGGTCCGTAGCTTAATTAGACTTGGAATGCCAAAAGTTGAATTTTTGAAGTTTTCGGTTCGATAGTGAGATTTTGATCTAGGGGACGGAATGGAATTCCGGAAGTTGGAGTAGCTCCGTAGTGTTGAATGTGACGTGTGTGCAAAATTTCAGGTCATTCGGGCGAGGTTTGATAGACTTTTTGATCGGAAGCGAAAATTTAAAGTTTTGGAAATCCTTAGGCTTTGATTGGAGGGTGATTTGTGGTTTTAGCGTTGTTTGACGTGATTCAAAGGTTGGAATAAGTTCATATGATGTTTTACGATTGGTTGGCCGGTTTGGTTGAGGTTCCGAGGGCCTCGGGTGAGTTTCGGGTGCTTAACGGAAGTTGAATTGGACTTAGGAAAAATTTGATGTTGGCTGAACTTGTGATAACCGCACCTGCGTGAATGGGACCGCAGGTGCGGCGCCGCAGAAGCGGATTTTGGTCCAGGCTCCAGAAGCCGCAGGTGCGAGAAGTCGAACGCACCTGTGAGAACGCAGGTGCGGCAAGGGAGTCGCAGGTGCGGAAT